ACCGACTCAAAGGCCAAGGAACCAAGCCCGGAGAGGGGCTGACGCCCAACAGCACATACGGCGAGTGGGGAGGAAAGACTCCACTCCGCGTAACCACAAGCCCCGCCTAGAGGAGGATAAAAACCCCCCACGGGGACCTACGGGGCCAAGGCCCCCAAGTCAGCCCCTCCCCAGCCCCGGGAACCTACACGACAGGCCCCGGGGCCGAGCCGTCCCCCCAAAGCCCCGGCCATACCAGAAAACCGGGGCAGCCGCAAAAGCACTAAGGAAGGGAGCCCACTGGCAGACTCTTACAACACAGCTGGAGGAACAGGCTCAAATGCCCGTCACTACCCCAGAAGGGGAATTCCCCGAGACTGCCCGAGTCTCAACACCATCAAACCCCCCCCCGAACCTACAGACGGTAAGGAACCGGATGCAGGCAGGAAGGGGGATCCAGGGGAAAGACAAGGGGGAGTGGAAGGAACCGAAGCAACCAACACCCCCAAGTCCCAACACGAACCAAATCGGGGCAGCCCTGAGGCTCCTGAGGAGTAAACCACGAGAGCGTTGCCACCACCAAGGCCCAAAGTGCAACACCCCTGCTGCCCGCACCCGCTTAGTCAGCACAACTGGGTAACCAAGCCACAACGAGCAACCAAACTAGCAGGACTCCGGGTCGAAGGTGTCACCGACCCCACAGGCAGCAGACAGAGGCAAAACAGTCACCCAGAGACAAAGGATGAGAGCAACCCTCAAACTCACTGGAAGCCAGGGGGGACTCTGGTGTCACATCCATCAGACCCACGCGCCCCCAGGGGTTTCCCAGGGTCCCGAGCGTTTACTATAAGAGGACTCGCGCTCAGGTAATCCCAGGCAGGGTACTGCTAACCAGCACCCAAAGCTACCAAACAACTTTCTAAGAGTTGAACCCCCGAGACGTGTACACTCACGGGGACCTAACAGGGGGTACCACCAGAAAATACTCAGAACACAAGGGACACAAGGGGCAAGAACGAAGGCAGACCCCCCCCCCCACCAGGTAGATAAACAAAAAGAAAAAGAAAACCCCGCAAGAGGACAGCGTACCCAAGCGGAACAGAGCCGGCCGCCATGATTGGTAAAGACAAGCTGCACAGTATCCTGCACCCCACCAGTGCAAAACTGCCCCTTACTCTAAGGCGCGAACAAGGGAGACAGAACACCCGAGCACACAAAGAGTGGCCGAAAACCAATTAGTAAACGGCCTAGCAGGGGCAGAACTCAAGGAACTTGTGGAAGGTGGCCCCAAGGGCAGTACTTACAGGGCACCTAGGGAGGGGTACCCTAGGCACATGCAGCCCGAGTACTGGAGAATCACTCCCGGCTCACGCACCACCTAGAAAACAGACACCACACTCTAGGTACAGTACTGAAACAACCACTGGAGCTGGAGCACATAACCGGTGCCTATAGCATCAGCCGAAGAACTGATGGGTGGATAGCCGGCGTGGGAGGTCTGGGGCTCCCCCTTCCCCCTCCCGGGGAGAGGGGAGCTGTGCAGACAGCGACGCGGTGACATGTGACGTCATGATCGTTTGCTCGTTTCTTTTAGGTAAGTTCTATCCACCTGTTCGGCTTGTGGTAGCAATTTTCACCAGAATAGGGGTTTGTTTTGGGACATTTGCCTTTCTGGGTGCCTGACCCAGTCGATGGCAGACATAGAATGCTTCCAACCACGCGGGGGTTTCAATAGGCTATTGGTCCCCATGCCTCTCTGAGGGGGGCCAAGTTCTGGCTCGTGGTCCCTGGTAGGCCCATAGAACTCCATACATATGACTGATGCCAAAGTCTGACATTAGCATATCAGCCTGGATAAGCTTTGGGCAACCGAAGGGGCTTCCCCCCAGAAATACAAGTCACAGTTTCGTATCATCCTTTGCAGATGACACAAAAATCAGCATGAAAATTACCTATGCTGAAGACATTGAAAACCTTCAAGCAGATATTAACACTTTGTACGGATCAGGACTCCGCCCGGAGTCCTGTTTCGCCTACCCGCTTCCGCGATGTGGACATAAAATGATGTCCTGAAAAAAATATTTGTATAAAATTCAGTTTTAATCCAATTTACTTTGGGTTTGTTTCAAACTGCGCGCCATGAGGCTCTCTTTCTCACCACTAGGCTGCATGGTACAATAAGTTCATGAAAGGTGTAGACCACTTCGATCAAATGGTATTACCATTTTACCCGGAAAACTCACAAGTGGACCTAAAAGATAACGTTTTATTTCCTGCAAATGGCTTTGCATAATGCCTTTGTTTTGTACAAATACAACACAACTGATCAAAAAAAAGCTAACATTGCTACAGTTCCACGAGGTGGCAAATTGGGCCCTATTGTGCTGGGACCCGGAAGATTGGCCTCCAACAGCAACAGTATCTCAACACTTGCGGCACGCTCCAGACATAAATGATGACACAGGTCCTGCCTATGCTGACGCCATGCAAACTCCTGGACCATCTGGTGTGAGGCGGCCCTTGTTCACTTCAACACCTCAAGCTGAAGCAGCAACCGAATCAGAACCCGAGATGTCTGGCACACTGCCATTTGACGAGACGGTTTTGTCAGATGACTCTGACTCAAATGTTGAACCTCCAGCGATTCAGTTGATTCTGAAAATCGCATGAACTACAAACTGAAACGAGTATTTTGATGCCAGAATGAACACTGTATCACATAAACTGCCATAAGTAGACTCGAACCTTCATAGATTTTTTTTTGGGTGTAGCATGTCTGTATGAGTGTCCCAAACGGGTTGCAGATGGGTGACTTTAGCCGTTTATACTGGTAATGTATTTTATATTTTGATACCAGAATGAACACTGTATCACATAAACTGCCATAAGTAGACTCGAACCTTCATAGATTTTTTTTTGGGTGTAGCGTGTGTCTGCATGAGTGTCCCAAACGGGTTGCAGGTGGGTGACTTTAGCCGTTTATACTGGTAATGCTTCCCCCACATCATGTATTATATGCATATGTCTGTTTAGGGAATTTTATTCCGATCAATGTACAACCAAAAATAACTGTGTGCAACAAGTATAAACTTTTTTTTTTGAAGAATCGTTTTTTCATCCAAGTACACATTTTACTGTTGCGTTAAACAGAGGCTACAGTTAAGGAATTGCGCCCAGTAAATCCTCCCCGGCTAGGATACGAACCCATGACATAGCACTCGCGGAACGCCAGGCGAGTGTCTTACCACTACACCACGGAGACTGTGGTGACAAACTTGACAAACATAACAAAAGTAAAAACATTTCGTGTGTGTTTGACGCTCACTGATATGTTCCAGCGTTGTTTTATATTTGGCGCTATTCTATCTTACGCTTTGTTGATCTTTTTTACCTACGGGCTCATAGAACATTCTATTGCGAACACATTGACACAAAAATGAATGACGTACATAGAATAATAATGTCAGGACAGTGAAATAAGTATAAACTTTCAAAGCGCTGTATTGCACATGTGTCGTCCCGTCACCGATACCGGGTAACAATTTCACCACTTCCCACACTCTTGCGGGTGGGCCGCGATCATTATTCTACATTTATATTCATATCACCGTGTTGGGAATTTCATTGCGAGTCCATTGATACCAAAATTAACGCTGTAGGACAAGTGTGGAGGTGATAACAATCCCAAGAGTAAAAACATTTTGTTGCTGTTGGGCGCTCACGGCGAGTCATCTTCGTAGTTATTTATTTGGTGCTGGTATCCCTATATGTTTTGTGACTTTGTTTACTGATGTTCTTCTAGAGAATTTTATTGCGAACACGTTGGTACCAAAATGAAATACGTAGCTCGAGAACTAAGGTCAGGAGAGTAAAAAGAGTATACACATTTTTGTTTTTACGCTTAAGCGACAAAAACGCCGCGCGCACTTACCGCTTTTTTTTTTTACCTTCGCCGGGCGCGCGAAAGTGTTAATAAAGTTTTTAACTGGGCAACAGAAAATAATATGATGTTTGCAGTGGTAAATTTCAGGTACTCAGGTACAGTAAAAATGAGAACCTTAAACATAATACAGGGTACAAAACACAATCAAATCTGCCAACAGTAGGAAAGCAGTATGTAAAGGATTTGGAAATAATGATGTCTGATGACCTAACGGTTAGGGAGCATAACCAAGCAAATATTGCGTCAGCCAGATAAATAATAGGATGGATTAAGAGAACTTTCAAATCTAGAAATACCATCACAATGGTTGTACTATACAAATAACTTGTACTGTCACATCTTGAGTACTGCTCAATACTTACTTTCTCCTTCAAAGTGGGAGAGATTGCTGAAATGGAGGGAGTACAGATAACATATATGGTATACATAGATGCAATAAAACACCTAAATTATTGGGATTGTCTCAAAGCTCTCCAAATGTACTCACTAGAAGGGAGATTGAGAGAGATATCAAATAATATACACATGGAAAATACTGGAGGGCCAGGTCCCAAATCTACACAGTAAAACAACATACTGGAGTGAACGATATGAAAGAAAATGCAGAATAGAACCAGTGAAGAGCAGGGGTGCCATAAGCACAATTAGAGAACACTATACATATCAGAAGTCCATAGTTGTTCAACATCCTCCAAGCGAGTATAAGAAATATTGCCAGAACAACTGTGAACATCTTCAAGAGAAACTAGGTAATTTTCTCCAAGGAATGCCAGACCAACTGAGCAGAGGTGGATATGTGGGCTTGCAGGCCACTCCAAGCAACAGCCTAGTGGACCAAGCTCTCAAGTCAGGCCTGGCCTCAAGCCAGGCTTGTGCAGTAGAAGAACTCCAAGAGCCCTATCAAGCAGGTATTAATCAGGATCAGTCTTCCCACATACAGCTTGTTCAAGTGAGGACACACTGTAATTTAAAGCTTCATGTGATTCGGAAAGGGGTTGTCTTCATAAATGCTAATTAGCGAGCATAAACAATACTACATAATTTACTGGCATTTACATATACTAATGTATATATTTACCTTGCTGAAGTGGAACGAAATACTGTTCCTTAGATACATTTTGACATGAACGACGACGTGGTTGCCGAAGTGGAACCAAATACTGTTCCTTAGATGCATTTCGATCTGAAGAACGATGACCTGGTTTTTGTACTTCTTTTTGCTTTCTATCATTAGGTGCATCGCTATTCTTGCAGCTTTCCTTCACCTCTTTCACAGGTTCACTGGAATGTTATACAATTATATTCCTATAAATAAAAAATAAAACAATCACATATTACTATTAAAGAACAAATGCTAATACATAAAGGTAGCTATGTTGCGTCTGGACATTCGCTTACTCATATTGATGGTTGTGATGATATCAACACCACCTGTGGAGAGAGGTATGGCAATAGCAACGCCATCTGTGGCAATGCACCTCAACCCCGATTCTTTTAGATGTGACGAGGACAATGCCATCTATTGGTGGATGTGTGGCATAACCATTTGCCTGATCATAATTGATTAAGGAGGTGGGTCAACGATAATGCCCTCTGGTGAGGGAGATGACGATATCAGTGCCATCTATTGTATGCACCCTATCATATTTTCTGTTCCCCGGTGAAAGGCTGTCATCCTATGTTATCCTTGTATATTTATTGTCTGGCTAATGACCTTTAAGCCCACAGAAGTGATGTGGAGGGTCTCTTAAGCTCCAGAGTTACATTCATCCAGAGCAGTCCAGAACTTCTCATTTGTTCCAGCGAGGACAAGTGGCCGCTGTCAGCAGAAGAGGTCAAGACGAGGATGCAAGATTATGTGCACCAGTTACTGGGTGATAGAAGCTACCTCAAAGAGGATAATTTGGTGTCTACACCCTAGTTATACCTGGTGGACTAACCTGCTGTACTATAAGATAAGGAACCTTTTCAATGTATGTAGTTAATACAGTAGTTTGATTGGCTGCATATATATAAATATAAACCCCCCCTAATGTGTAGAGGATCGATTTGTGAGATTAAGAGATTATTGCAGAAATACAGTCCACTTATCATTATACAAATTGCTATCGAAGTATATAAATTAACGTAAATATAAATTCATATAAATTAAATAAATATAAATCTCACAGGTCGGTTCCCACATTATTTGGTCATCTTCGAACCGGATGACGGATTATTTGATCCTTTGAACCCACATTTGGTCATCTTAGTACCGGATGAACCAGTTATCCAGTGGATTCATTAAATACTAGTGCAGTGTTATTTAAACAAAGCCAGCCAGTCATAGACAGCGGCGTTGCCTCGTGGGAGCTCAGGAGTCTCCCTCAGCCCAGTTCAGCTTCGTCAGCGGTTTCATGCACACCCACAGATATTTGGTGGCGTGTTATTTCGTGAAATGACAGCGCTAATATAGAAGCCAGCCAATTAGTGACTGTCGCAAGATTGTTCACGGATTTCGTGGTGTTACATTTCGCGAGAGATTATCTACGAATTTTGTGGACTTTATTTCGCGAGGTCACTAATAATATTTAATACTTCTAGATAATATTAGAAGTTTCATAGAGGCTAATTAAGAGGCTATTATCAATAATTGTGTATATTATTTCTCCAAAATAGAGAATTATTTAATATATTGCACTAGTGATCACAGTATAATATTTACTAATTGCCAACCCACAACAGGGTAGGATATTAACCATTGACTAGTTGAACTATTATTGTTCATCCTAGTCCCATTATTACTATAGTCAGTTGTACTATATTGAACAACCTAACACCATTAATGAATGGTCCAGACCCTATTTTGGGTGTAATTTTTATCAACTCGAGTTGAGTTGTATATATAATAATTTACTTATGATCATTACACCTTTGAGTGATTAATTAGTGTCTCTACCATCCTAGGGTGATATAGAAGAGCTAACCTAAAGGTACTTCCAGTGACACTGGTTTATCACTCAAATCATTAGTGTGTATGATTGTATATATATAATGTGTATTAATTTTAAGTGCTAACCTCTAGTAGAGGTAGGATTATTGCCTAGTGAGTTCAGAATTTAACCCTAGGCTACCATTAGTACTTGCTCACAATTTATGAGCCAGTGGTGCCCAATTAACAAGTCACCATGACTAATCCACAGAAAGCAAAGCGTGCTTTAATATCAAGCAAACGCCAACTAACAAGAGATCTCAACCAATATGAACAGTTGTTATATGAGCCTGTAATTAATTATCGTCGGTTGAAAATACCACTGTTACAGATTCAAACCCAATTGCATATATTGAAAGCAAATAGGAAATCTTACCAAAATCAGGTCCACGACGACGACATAGTAGTTGAAGATGTGGAACCATTCCTGTCTGACCTTGCACAATATGAAGAAGAAACTCAAGCCAGGTTGGAACATTTACACAGGATAATTGAATCAGAACAAATAGCAAGTACACCAAATAAAGTAGATAATGTTATGGATGATCTGGATTTTTTTGAGAATAAATGTAAAGCCAGATTAGATCCTTTAATCAACAAGGATAAAGCTTCACCCAGTAAAGCTTCACCCACTACAGCTTCACCCAATATTATACCACCAGAAATTAAGCAGTTCTCAGACAATTTATCCACAGTCTCTGTGGTTTCTGAAAACCCAATACCTGAGGCCACTAAGTTAACATGCCTCCAAACTAGAGGTGAAGCTGAACCAGTAGTAGAATATGTAAATGAAAATAGCGACAGCACTAATTTCCCAGTCCAGCTTCCTAGGAATAATGCTGGCAATGAGAAAACTGTCATACATCTAGTACTACAATTGCTGGATTTACCTCAACCTGATCAGACTGCTGACTCATTACAATCCTTCAGCATGGAGTTTGAGTCACTACTAAGAACATTCAGACTTAAGGTTGATATAACTACTAGTGAATGGATGACCAAAGTAGTCCTTCAACGAAAATTGTCCAGCGATATACTAGATGAATTATATGCACATCAACATAACACCATCCTGACAGTACAGGACATCACTGAAGGTTTACATTCCATCATAAACAAACGACGAGCAAATGAGGAAGTTAAAGCCTCATGCAAGCCTTCAGAAATAGAAAATAAGAGTCAATTAAAGGGTAAAACAACTACCCCAAATAAACATCAGTCAATTACTCAAACATCAATTTGCAGAAAATCTGACAATGCAGCAGCATCCTCCAAGCCTACTGTTACTAGTTCACCCAAACCGGTAACTTCCAAACGTGCAGTAGGCTGGGGGACATGTATGTTCTGCAAAAAGAAACATTCAACATATCATTGTGCTAATTATCCAACCAGAGACACTCGTATTGAGCGACTCCAGGAATTAGGGAGATGTGCAAGGTGTCTCAAGTCACACAACATAGACTATTGTGATACCCAATTCAACACCTGCAACAGGTGTAGAAGAGGTAGGCACCATGCAGCACTGTGCAAATATACGAAATTAACGTATTCAAGACCCAAGGTGGAAGATAGCATTCCCACCACAGTACAGTACTGCAAGGTGCAACAAACAAAGAGTGTCCAATCGGCAAAGTCTAAAGGTAATACGACTTTGCCTACTGCCCAAATTACCATCCTGAATAAGAGGGCCAAGGTCCATACCCGTGGGTTGTTTGACCAAGGATCCCAGAGAACATATATCACTAAAAAGCTGGCAGATGAACTACAATTAAGGCCTGTAGCCCAGATGTCATTCAACATCTCAGGGTTTGTAACAGATGCAGGACCTCAAGTCTACCAGGTGGTACAACCATCAGTACGTTTAGGCAGGTACGTCTGTCGAGTACAAGCCATTGTGGTGGACAAAATACCAGTAGACCTACAAGTTCAAGGTCTGAGAGCAACAGCCAAATTCCTGAGAAATAGAGGAATAAAATTGGCAGATAATATTAAGTCTGATCACCTCACTGACTTCGGTCTCCTTGTAGGGACAGACTATTGCCATCGATTCATCGGTAGCCCTACTAAATATCAGGGTATAACCATGTTAAACTCTGCAGGAGGTAAATTACTCTCAGGCCCAGTATCAAGCCTGAGGAGACCTATGCCTGCAGATAAACAATACCAGTAGAAACCTAAATTTGTCAGCTGATTATATTTCTCCAGTAGCATTATACTAAGGAGATTACAGCTGACTATAGTAACAGAGGTTGATGTTAGTATCATCATTTGAAGCTGAAGATGAGTTCATGAGGCCTCAGTGGCAAATCAGTGAACAGTAGCCTAAAACAGCTACAAGTCACTGCGACCAATGTCACTGAACCCACTGCAGTCTCAGAACCATACTTTACTTTAATGATGAGCTATTCAATCTTCTGAATCAATTAACTAAATTAAACCCCAATAAATTTGATGACTGATTTGATACATTTATTATTTAATCAAGATGTATTCCATGGGCCTCAGTGTTTATATATCAGTGACCAGTTACCTGAACAAACTTCAAGTTATATCTAATGTCACTGATCTCACTGCAGTCCCTGAATCATACTTGACTGTAGTACTTGATCACATCCAGTCTTCTGGGTTAAATAATATGTAATAAGGCTTGAATATTAGCCTTTCAAGAGTTGACAGGGAAATGAAATCGCATTAGACTTCTAACCCCTACAACTCTAGTACGGGACATCCGTCCTGTACGAACAGACACACAAATGTGTGATTACTAACTATAATTTGAAGGAGGAGTATCGGTGTTCGTCTGTTCTAATTAGGACTTCGACCCGTGAGCAGCCCCTGGGGAATTATGTCGGAAAATCCGAAACCGTCTTTTGTTTGTTGTACTGGTTGCAGAGTTATTGATTTGGACCGACGTACCCGGGATTGGCCAAGTGGATTTACAAAACAACAGAACTGGCCATCTGTTGAGAAGTTCTGCTAGCGTGTTGCTAGATACTTCTGCTAACGTGTTGCTGATACTTCTGCTATCAGAAGTATAGCAGAAGCAAATATACGATGTGTGCCTTCATCGTATATTTTGCAAAATTTGGCATACATCTCATTTACTTCCCTGCCTAACAACCAGTCTGTCCAATTGCACTCATTAAAAAAAAAAAATTGAAATTCCTCCATAGTGTCCATTCTTGAAATCGAGTTTAACAACTGTTTCAATGTCCCCATTTTTTTCTAGATGATATCTTAAAGCATATTTAATGTCCAATAGGTCACTATTTCCCAAGGGAGGAAGGTACTGGATGTCATAAATCTCTTCTTTCCTGGTGAATATTAGTGCATGTGTGCACTTACCTAGTAGTACTTACCTAGTTGTACTTGCAGGGGTTGAGCTCTGGCTCTTTGGTCCCACCTCTCAACTGTCAATCAACTAATGTACAGGTTCCTGAGCCTATAGGGCTCTATCATAACTACACTTGAAACTGTGTATGGAGTCAGCCTCCACCACATCACTTCCTAATGCATTCCATTTGTCTACTACTCTGACACTGAAAAAATTCTTTCTAACGTCTCTATGGCTCATTTGGGCACTTAATTTCCACCTGTGTCCCCAAGTGCGTGTGCCCCTTGTGTTAAATAGTCTGTCTTTATCTACCCTATCAATTCCTCTGATAATCTTTTGTGGTGATCATGTCTTTTCTAACTCTTCTGTCTCCCAGTGACGTGAGGTTTAATTCTCTTAGTCTGTCCTCGTAGCTCATACCCCTCAGTTTGGGTACTCGTCTGGTGGCAAACCTTTGAACCTTTTCCAGTTTAGTCTTATGATTGACTGGATATGGACTCCATGCTGGAGCCGCATACTCCAGGATTGGTCTGATATATGTGATATACAAATTTCTGAAAGTGTGAGTGTGTGAAATAACCTAAGTGTAGTTACAGGATGAGAGCTATGCTCATGGTGTCCCGTCTACCCAGCACACTGTCATAGAACACTGCTCGGTTCTTGCCGAGCAGCAAAAACCTCTATGGGAATGGTTCCCGAACGCCCCAGGGAAGATAACCCTGTCATGCAGGGGCAGTACTCACAGGGCGCTTAGGGAAGGAAGCCCCTAAGGGCATGCAGCCTTGGTACTGATGAGGAACACCTGGCCACCGCACAACACAACACATGGCAGTGAACGCCACACAAGGCAAACACCACCTAGGAAACTGAGGCCAGAGAAGCATCTATCCCGGTTGACATTAGCTTACGAACTGATGCTAGGCAGCCGGCGCGGTGAAGTTCGGGGCTCCCCCCTCCCCCTCTCGGGGCGGGGAGGGCTGCACGGACGATCGGCACGGCAGTAAAGTGTGATGTTTGCTTGTTTGCTCGTTTCCGTTTTGTTATGCCTACCTTTCTGGGTGCCTAACCCCAGTCGATGGCAGATAAGGAAAACCCAAACCACAAGGGGGTTTTCCAGGGTCATTGCTCCCTGAAACCTCTCTGAAGGGGCCAGGTTCTGGCACTGGTCCCCGGTAGGTCTGAACTCTTTAGCTAATGTCCCGGTCTAATATAACATACATTAGCCCGATAAGCTCCAGGGAGCCGTAGGGGCTCCCCACAGAAAAAATGTAAGTACACTTACCACTTACTTACCAATGATGTAATGACGCAATGTACAATGACGTAAATGAACCAACTACTTGGGCAATGACATCACACGCAACCTGATCGCTCATGCACTGTACATCCCTGACGCATCACTCACGGTCTTCAAGCAGCCAGAGTTGCCACAAATTTATTTTCGCGGGATTATTTACAGTGTCTAGGCATATTTTACCAAAAAAAAATTCACTAATACTGCTCCATATAATGTTACTTGACGTTGATTTACAATACAACTTGCATCCATTCAATACTCACGCACACATTAGTGTCACAATAATGCGCACATAAATGTTTTCTTTTACACAATATATAACATGTATTCATATTTTTCATCAATATATATACATGCCCTCACTCAATATGTACAGCTTTTTGTGCCATTATTGGACATTTAGAAGTCCTTGACACAGTGGTAGTCGTCGAAGCAGTTGACAGCACACAAAGGGACGGCACATGCTTCACACCATGTGTGAAGAGGGTGTTAGCAAGAGGGTAAATATAAAAATGTTGTGGATTCCTTCTCACATTGGCCTGCAGGAACATGACAAAGTTGATGCCCTTGCTAAGGCTGCAGTAAATAAAGACAGTATTGAACGGAATCTAGAGTTATCAAATAGGTCCTTAAAAGGACCTATTAGACGAGAATTATCTCGGATGGATTTATGGTATCTGCTGGGTAACTGAAACCTCCCACATGTTGGTGGCCTAGCTGGATTTTTTCAAAATGGTGGATGTTTACTATAGCATATCTCAGTACTTTTTTGGTACTATATATAGCCCATGGTCAGCGTATGGAGCCCCCTCTACCCCGTAGACTGTTTAAATCGCGGTACTCCAAAACATCATATGATGTCGTGTGCAATTTATCAACAGTTACTCAAGACATCATATGTTGTTTTGTGCATTTTAAGGTGTAAATCTATGACCTCTTGTTCTTCAAGTTCCAGGTCTCAGAAATTCTTCCCTATCAATTTTATCAATTCCTGTTGCTATTTTGTAGTTTGTAGGTAGAGCAAAAAGTTATAAGTAGTTATTATTTTGTACGTAGTGCAGTTCAAGCCGAGCCAGAACCCGAAGCAACAGAAGGACAGGGGGATAAAGGTACAGGAACCCCTCACCCCGGTAGATGCTTCTGCCGGAAGCATCTACTGCTAAGCCCTGCAGTCAGGGAACGACGCCACATATGGAGGGAGATGCCGAGACCATGCCAACGTGAAGAGGTCATGTTGGCCTTGTTTGTCTCCACCCGTACGTCCGACAAAACCAAGGAAGGAGACAGTGTCGACTGTCCACTCCATGGAAAGGGAATGAAGTGCAACAGGGTATCTGCCAGGACATGGGACACTCCCCGGAAATGAACGGCACAGAGAGCAAAACCCCGAAAACTCAGAAGAGCATGGACCACAGAGACCCCCACTGTTGAGGCAATAAACCACAGGGGTGCAATCTGAATGAAGCCGGATCAGAAAGCCTTGAGGAAGCCAAATCTGCCACAACGCCAACCACACAGCTGCAAACATTTGCACCGTGCTGCGAGCCCGATGAAAGGAGGGAGCCCAAAGACCCTGGCCGGCCAGGTGAGTGCTGGTCAAAAAGCCCCCCAAGAGACGAGGCATCCGAGAACACATTGAGTGCGGGAAGGGGAGGGTGCCATGGCACCGAAGAGGAAGCTGGTGATTCAGCAATCAACGGAACACCGGCATGCGAACCCAGCAGTTGCAAGAAAGGCAAAAGCGATGCCCCGAAGAACCAGAACAGCCTCCAAAGACAAACCATGCCCAGCAGGAAAACCAGTAACACAAAGAACAGGCTCCCGCACAACTGCTTGAGCAACCGCCGAGTGACCCCGTTCCCCCTTCAAAAACAGCTGAAGGCAGGACCACAACTGGACCAATGCCGCAGGAGGGAGAGAGATGGATGCAGTCTGCGAACCTACACAGGACCCAGCCAAGTCTGAGCCTGAGAAGGAACCAACTGGGACTTTCACCAATTCACCAGGAACCTGAACCCAGCAAACTGGGAAAGAACCAGATCCCTAGCTAGCAGACATGCATCCCGGCCAGGAGCCCACACCAACCAGTCGTCAAAGGAGGCTGCCAGCCAGGAAGGCATCGGAAACATTATAATTGCTTAGGGCTGACTGCCTGGCGCCTCCAATACCCTGTGTGACTGAACTCTCATTGTATGTGATATCTTAAATAAACCCATTTATGGTGTTACAACAGCTTTGAGAACACGAGGCCATGGATTTAAGCCAAGAAAATAGTGTTGTCAAAAAAAAGTTGAAATTCTCTTTCTGCAAACAGAGTTATAGGTGGATGAAACAAATTAAATAGGAGGAACATGTATGCCAAAACCATTGAGTTTCAAAATGTCATAACAGAATAATGCAGTGTAAACAGCTCAAATCTCGAGTGCCAATAAACATAATTATCTGCATCTAAATGGACACTTCAGCACACCTTATTTTATAATGAGTAACTTTCATAATAAATGTATTTACATAATAAAGTTTGAAGTTTGAAACATTTCATATTAATGAAATGTACATTACTGCTGTACTGAAAAAGTATAATTCAAATCATGCTTTGAAAAGATGCTAACCTTGGGCATTCAAGTGCAAAATTAGGCTGAAGAGTAAAATCTGGAGATACATTTATCTTACAATCCCCCTCAGAACACATGGGGGATTGTAAGTTCTGGGAATCTGTAATTGTTATGGTCCTAGGTGTCATGTGTTCTATGGGTCCGTCTTCTTCTTCTTTGTTATTTTTTGGAGAGAGTTGTTTTGCCATGGTGGATTCTGCTGAAGATGAAGACTGTGTTGTATTTGTTGCAGTAAGCATAACGCTGCTCTGATTTTCATCTGTAAAAAATATATATATTATAAAATCATATGAGGAAATTAGTAGTGTGAACTCAAACAAATTATATGGGCCAAGAATTCATTGAGGGATTTAATTCAAACTGTCAGGCCTTTGGCAACCCCCCTCCCATCCCTGATAAAACCAGCATTGAATGTAATGAAACGCCATTTTCTGGGCGAGACTTAGAGACTCCACGGAGCTATCAAAAGTCTAATATTAGACTTTGGCATCAGTCAGTGTGAATGGAGTTCTTTAGGCCTACCAGGGATCACGAGCCAGAACCTGGAGCCCTCAGAGAGGCACGAGGAGCAATGGCCTCTAGAAACCCCCATATGGTTGGAAGCATTGTACGTCTACCATCGACCGGGTCAGCCATCCAGAAAGGTAAGCATCCCAAAATAAACCCCGAATAACCCCGAATTAACCAGAATAACCTATTCTGGTTAAAAAGTTGCTACTGAGAGCCGAACTAGTGGACAGAACTCCCCAAACAAAAATGAGCAAACATTAGCAAGACGTCATCACATTGCTGCGCCGTCATCTGCGCAGCTCCCCCTATCCCTGAGAGGGAGAAGGGGGGAAACCCAGACCCCTCGTGCCGGCTACCCCAGTTCCCAGTTCCCTAGGCTCATCCAGACCCGTTCAGAGGCTGGATGTCAAAAATTTGTGAAAAAAAAAAAAACGGAGGGAGGGAGGGGTGCCAAGGAGCCTCTGAGTCTCACCCAGACCTGCTACCTGCCGCGTAGGTAGCAGGTCACACAACACCTTGACGCCCTAACCAGCGCGACACCAGTACCTACCCAAGGCCAAACAAAGGCCCCAAGCCCCAGCTGGCCCCAAGAGCGAGGCAAATGCCGAGCCAAGAACCGCTATGGGAATGATTCTCGAACGCCCCAGATAAGATAACCCTGTCACCCAGGGGCAGTTCTCACAGGGCGCTTAGGGAAAGAAGCCCCTAAGCACATGCAGCTCCGGTACTGATGAGAAACACCTGGCAACACAAAAACACAGCAGTGAGCGCCACGAAGGCAAACACTGCCTAGGAAACAGTGAAGCGTCTGTCCCCGTTGACATTAGATTATGAACTAAAGTGCTAGGCAGCTGGCGCGGTGAGGTCCAGGACCCCCCTCCCCCTCTGGGGAGGGGAGGTCTGTGCAGACGAGTAACGTGGCAGTAAAGTGTGATGTTTGCTTGTATACTTCTTTCCTTGGAATTGTAGAGTGTTCTACCTCTCTGCTTGGTTTTTGTTGCTAGTTTCTTACCATGTGGGGTTTGTTTTGTTATGCCTACCTTTCTGGGTGCCTAACCCTGGTCAATGGCAGATAAGGAAAAACCCTAACCCCTGGGGTTTTTTCCAGGGGCCATTGCTCCCTGAAACCTCTCTGAAGGGCCAGGTTCTATTACTGGTCCCTGGTAGGTCTGAACTCCATAGCCAATGTCCCGGTTTAACATAACATACATTAGTCCGATAAGCTCCAGGGAGCCGTAGGGGCTCCCCTCAGAAAATCACAAAATAACAACATTCTTTACAAAGAATTCAAGTGCAATCGCCACTAAGTGGGCGGCTCTGGTAAACTGAGGTGCAGTCGCCCGTGCCACCAGGAACCACACACTCGGTTTACCCATACGTGTATCAACAGAGTCGCAAGTCGAGGCAAAGGTCGTAAGACGAGTAGAATTTTCAGACAAAATTGGGATCGTAACTCAAAAAATTCCTAAGTAGGGACATTAGTATGTCGAGGTTCCACTGTACAGTAAATACATTTATTACTGTAGTGGGAGCCGGTCGGCCGAGCGGACAGCACGCTGGGCTTGTGATCCTGTGGTCCTGGGTTCGATCCCAGGCGCCGGCGAGAAACATTGGGCAGAGTTTATTTCACCCAATGTCCCTGTTACCTAGCAGTAAAATAGGTACCTGGGTGTTAGTCAGCTGTCACGGGCTGCTTCCTGGGGGTGGAGGCCTGGTCGAGGACCGGGCCGCAGGGACACTAAAAAGCCCCGAAATCATCTCAAGATAACCTCAAGATCAAGATTATGCAGTTAGCACTGTATTGATTTTGTAGTTTTGCTGTATGATGAGTACTACAATACAGTTTATGAAAACTATTGTACACTAAAATTACTGCAACTTTAATTTTAACACTATGTACTATACTTAAATTTAACACTTGTTTTAACTGTACACTCTACCCACACGATGTTCTAGATGTTTGCATCAGCTTTGCTGGTGCTCGCTGCTGCTGTGTTGGTTTTAGCTGCGTAATTAATGATTCTCCAGCAATTTTCTTGTTTAGCGGGTGGCTATTTCCAATTTAGGCGGGCAGTGTGGGTAGATTAGGGCAGGCGGATGGGCGGGCGGTGAGGGTGGGCTGCTATTCGGCCAGGGTAGGTGGATTTGGGCAGGCGGATGGGCGGGCGGCTATTTGGGGAAGGTGGGTGGATTTGTGGGTGGGCAAGTATTCGGGTGGGGTGGGTGGATTTAGGCAGGCAGATGGGCGGCTATTTGAGCAGGTTTTTGGGTAGGCGGATGAGCGGTTAACACCACTCATCTTCAGCAGTAAGCTGAAGTTTAAGCCAGATCCAGTAATAAATTTCTCTCAAATATTAGACTTACATCATGATATATTTTTGGGTTATATATTTAGCTTAGCAACATCGTTAAGATAATAAGAGCTATAAAAAACCAGCGTTGAATATAATGAAACGCCATTTTTTGGGAGAGTCCCGGAGCTATCCAGGATGAATGGATATGTATAACTTTCTGGCATCAATCAAAGTGCATGGAGTTCTTGCCTACTGGGGACCACAAGCCAGAACCTGGCCCCCTCAGAGAGGCACGAGGAGCAATGGCCTATAGAAACCCCCCTGTGATTGGGAGCATTCTATGTCTGCAATCGACTGGGATAGGCACCCAGAAAGGAAGGCGCCCCAAAACAAATCCCTATTCTGGTGAAAATATTGCTACTGAAAGCCGAACAAGTGGACAAAACTCCCCAAACAAAATTAGCAAACTAGAATGATATCACGTTGCCGCGCCACCGTCTGCGCAACCTCCCACTCCCCGCGCTGGGGAAAGGGGGAGCCCCAGACCCTTTGTGCCGCCGATCCAACCAGCAGTTGGATGTCAAAATACGGGAAAAAACACTGCCGACCGGAGGGAGAGAGGGAGGGAAGGAACCGGGAGGTGGACACCACATGCCCAACCCAAAAACAAAACCACAGGCCAAACCAAAGGGCCCCGCAGATGACCCGGGAGACTTTAACCCCAGAATAGGAAAGAAGGAAGGGAACCCTGCAAACCAAAACATGCCCACGGCCCCAGAGGCCATGATGCGCAGAAAACAACAAAGAGCCGCAACAGAACACAACACACGAAGCACCCCCGGCCTAACCAAGCAGCAACCCAAGAACCCCTCCTGAAAACTGCAGACCTAAACTTCACCAGAAATAACAAACTAGACAGCTAGCGGAATGTAGCAGAAGGCACAGCAACACCAAACGCAAGCTGGAGCGTCCCCGCCAGCGCTTCCCGATACGAGGCGACTGTCCTGGAACAACCCCAAAAGGGAAGGACAAGACAACCCTATCAGAGACCGTAGTACACCTATGCAGTGATAGAAAACCAGAAGGACCACCAGGAAACTACACACTGCCGCCGAGACAAAGCACGCAGGTGGGAGACCAACAACGAAGCCACCAGCACCCACACAAGTGACGAGAACAAGATACAAAAACCCCGAGATGCGAAGCCTCGAGGGGAAGAACAAACCAGCCGTGTACTGGGCTGGACCGATCCGCAAAAAGAGGCGGAACCGCGGGAAGACCCTCACTATCGGACACCAAGGAAAGAAGCGCCCCCAACCAAGGAGGCAAAGAATCAGAACCAGGTATATTTTACCACATATAAAAGACCAATCCTGGAGCATGTGGCCCCAGCATAGAGCCCATACCCTGTCAAGCACAAGATGAAGCTTGAAAAAGTGCAGAAGTACGCCATTAGGGTAGTCCCATTGCGAAGAGACACGAGTGTTGAGGACAGGCTGCGGGAAATGCAACTCGCAACACGAAGACAGAAGAGCAAGGGGGAGACATGAACACTACCCCCAAAATTATCAGAGGAATTGACAGGGCAGAAAAAGAGAAACTGTTCAACATGGATGGTATGCGAGGAAGGGGACACAGGTGGAAACTGAGTACCCAAATGAGCCACAGGGATAGTAGAAAAAACCTTTGCAGTGTCAGAGGAGTTAGCAGATGGAATGCATTAGGCAATGATGTGGTGGAGGCAGACTCCAGACATAGGTCCAAATGTAGATATGATAGAGCCCAGTAGGCTCAGGAATCTGTACACCAGTTGAACGACAGTTGAGAGGCAGGACCAAAGAGCCAGAGCTCAACCCCCTGCAAGAACAACTAGGTGAGAACAAAAACAGGCAGGGACATACACGGAAAATGAAAGAACGCAGGTCCAGAACTGAACACTGGGGCAGCCCAAAATCAGGGAACTGAACAGGTACAGAGGGTAACCCAGCACCAACATCAGTATAGCCAATAAGCACCTACCAAGATACACCACAATGCGTAGTATAGGGTAGGAAATACAGAATTAGACAATGAAAAGACCCGAAAAACGGTCCAAGCACCGGGAGCTAGGGATAAGAGAGTACAATGAATTTGACGAACGAAGATCTAAGTAGCAGCCGGTAACGTAAGGTACACAACCAACCACATATACAAAGAGACTTCAATGTATAGAATGGTGCAGCCAGGCACCGAAAGACAGGCAAGGAAGGAGCATCCAGAGTGCATAGACCGAGGCAAATAAAGAGTGAACAGACAGCAAGGACTGAGGCAACGAAGGAGTGTCCAGATATCGAGAAAAATTTCAGGTGGCTAAAGACTAAACAAACGGCACCGAATACCAGAGCTGTGTCCCACAGTGTAACTAAGAACAAGATACACTGACCAAGGAAGGCCACTGGTAAGACTCATGCAAAGTGGCCAAGCAAAACACACAACACCAACAACCCACTAAAATTTGAGAACCAGTACCTGGCCGACAGAGTCCCCAGACTGTACAATCTCACCTGCAGAGCGGAGACACGACTGTGTCACGACACAGTCGAGCCGAGCCAATTTGTGAGTACATTACTGCACTGTATAAATTGTTCTCAGACAAAATTGTCTAAGCACACATTACAGGGAAGAAGAACCGAACTCAAAAGAGACCGGGAATACAGTACTGACCTTTTTTTGGTTGAAATATGGAAAATGATGATGATGATGCCAGCACTCTCTGAATGGAATCCATAATTTCTTGGCACCTTGGGATGGACAGTGTATAACATACTTCTTGCAATATCTGATTTTCAGTCATAAAAGACTTGCCAATAATAACTTCTAAGCATGCCACTTTGCCAACACAAGATGGTTCACACGTGCCTGGGTTCGTCCATGCCTTTCGCATTGCCAAAATTCCTCGCCATTTAATTTCTTGGGAAACTTTGTCACTTTCTGAAAAAAAAAAATTACACTGTACAAAGTGTGTAGAGAATATTACAGTCAAACTATGAAGTGACTCACACTTAATCTATGTTTTCTGAATCCAGAATCCCTTACATCATTTGTAAACAAAAATAAAAAACTAAAAAAAAAAATTAATGAAATGCCATTTTCTGGGCGAGACCCGGAGGCTCTCTGGAGCTATAGCGGGCTGATGTGAATATATTAGACTGTGGCAACAGTCAATCAATGGAGTTCTAGGCCTACCGGAGACCAGCACCAGAACCTGACCTCAGAACCTGACTTCTCCTCGTCATTGCTCCTCGTGCCTCAGAGAGACACGAGGAGCAATGGCCTATAGACACCTCCGTGTCATTGGAAGCAGTCTATGTCTGCCATCTACCAGATCAGGCACCCAGAAAGGTAGGAATTCCAAAACAAATTACAGCTGGTTAAAAATTGTAAAATGAAAGTCGATCACGCAAGCAGAACTCCCCCAATCGAAAACAAGCAAACAAGATGACATCACCACAGCCACTGTGCCGCTATCTGAATAATTCCCCCCTCTCCTTCTCCCCCTGGGAGGGGAAGGGGGAGCCCCAGACCTCCTCACGCTGGCTACCCAACCTCAGTTCAGAGGCTGAATATTAAACACAAAAAAAAAAAAAAAAAAAAAAAAAGACCAGGGGAGGGAGGGAGGGATTCCAGGGAGCCTCCAGATCTCGCCCAGAAAATAGCAGGTCCCACCCAGAAAATGGTGTTTCATTACATTCAATGCTGGTTTTCTGTGGAAAGTCCCTTTGGCTCCCTGGAGCTACTTAACCAAAGATAAAGGAAAGTGTAACAACTTACACGGGAGGCGGCCACTACTCGCTCCTCAACACGAAGTCGAGACAACTGTCTGCAACCTGCGGCCCAAGGCTACACACGCCCGAGAACGGCCAGGAACATGAGCAAGGTACCGTGCGGCCAGGACCCTGTTCGACCTCCAAAATCCCCATGCCCGAATGTTGGCCCAAGACAAATCACCAAAAACAGCAGCCAAAGCCGCGAATTTATGAACATCGTGGGCACAGAACGGTAAGGGGATAGACCGCAGGCTGGCTAGACTAAATAATCCTGTGGATGACCTGGGAGACCTGCACCCTTGAACAGGGAAGAAGGGAAACCGGGTTCATCCAAAGTGCGTCCCCTGCCACAAAGGCTGTGGCATGCAAATAACGGCGAAGAGCCACAATCGAACACAAAACATGATGCACCCCTCGACGAACCAACCAACCATCAACAACCCAAGGACCCCTCTGGAAAGCAGCAGTCTCATTCTTCGGCAGAAAAGAAGGAGACAGCTGCAAGCGAACAAAACAACCACAAGGATCAAAGGAGCAGAAACCTCTGAGCTGGAGGAGAGCATAAAGCTCCCATACCCGACTCCCAGAGGCCAATGCCAACAAGAACAGAGCCTTAGGAAAAACAGTCCTGAACGGAAGGGGCTACCACAAACCAAGGAGAAGAGAAAAGAAAGCACCTGGTCCAACGACCAGGACGGCCCAGGCAGCGCATGAGTTAGGCCGAAGATGAAACGACCCCCAAGAAAGCTTGTGAACAGAGCAGAAGTGACATCCACCCCGAACAAACGAACGAAAGTGTTAATACAGTAATACGTACATAATGAAACATTTGACAAAAGTTTAGGAAAAATGCTTTTCTTGCAATCCAAACTGTTACTTGAAATTAACTGATAATTTCACAATTCTACCAATCTTGTAAACATACTGGATATTATCTATACAGCAGTAGAATACCAGTATATTTTAAGCACAAAATTATATAATGTATTCATCCTATTTAATATTTATTAACCTATTAATATACTGTATCTACTATTAATTTCATTACAAAATCATGATAAACACTCACCATGATAAGTATATTTCTTTTTCCATAATTCTGTAGTGGAATCATATATGAAGAGATTACTCTGAGAAAGCACAAATGGAAGGTGTGAAATATCAACTGAACCGTTCTTAATCAGTTCTGAATATATATATTCTATTGTAAAGCCAGTGTCAGCTTCCTCTTTGTTTCGTTCAAATATGGAAGCCACACGAACCTCTATTTTCACCAAAAGTACATAATCAACAAATCTCATAGCCGACACTTGTTTTCTAATATTCTCTGGTATTCCTCTAAGCCAATTATGGTTCAACAAAGCCAATGGCAATGATGTACTTTTTTCAGAGCATCTCCAAAGAATACCTTTATTGAAATGAATTTCACAATTGGTCAGTAATTTATTTTTCTTTGGGGAAGCCATTATTTCAGCTTTCAAATCCAGATTCTGAAGATCATTTTTTTGCTCAATATCCATGACGTTGGGCATACCATGATTAACTTCCTGATTAAGAAGAAGCTTTTCCAATTCATTATCTTGTATTTGAGATATTGGTCTTTTAACATTTTGTGTTCTGCTATTATACAACCATTGTTTTTCTAATGTATGCAACTTTGAAAGATCTGCATCCTGGACCGGCAATATTTCCTTGTGTGTCAATGGTCTCTCCATATCCTGACTACACATGACTGCCATTTTATCCATTTTTCATACTTAGAACATTTGTTTTAATATCACTTTTTTATTTCTTTGTTTTATAATCTATACATTCTTGGCATTATATATACTGATTTAATTTGTAAAAAAATTATTTAATTGGTGACAGCGGTGTTAAATTTTCCAATACAATTTTTTGCATTTTTTTTTTTTAAGTATTCAGATACAGCACTAAACTGATTACATTTTTATTATGTTTTATCATATGAATTTTTTGCCCTGATCTGGTAACAGGTCTGTTAAAAAGTTATGATCAACAGAATTTAGTTTCTGTTTAGTAGACTTTGAGATCTTGCTCCTTAATATTCTGCTAGCACATCCTATTCTCCTTAATTTTCTGCTAGCACATCTGGAAAAAGCAATACAGAATTATTAATGTAGAGTGATTAAATTAAATCCTACAGTTCAGAAAACAAAAAATCCATTAAATATTTTTTAATTAAAAAAAATTGAGATATGCATTTTTGGCCCCAAAAGTCAGTTGTTCTTCAAAACATGGGCCATGGTCCAACAGTTAAATTTATGGGGGAATATGTATAAAAATATTAAAAAAAACTAGCGTTGAATGTAATGAATCGCCATTTTCTGGGTGAGACCCGGAGGCTCCCCGGAGCTATACCGGGTTGATGTGTATATATATATTAGACCGTGGTAACAGTCAATCGAAGCAGTTCTAAGTCTACCGGGGACCAGAGCCAGAACCCGGCCCCCTCAAGAGAGGCACGAGGAGCAATGGCCTAAAGACACCCCCGTGTAATTGGAAGCAGTCTTTGTCTGTCATCTACCAGGTTAGGCACCAAGAAAGGTAGGAATTCAAAAACAAATTACTGCTGGTCAAAAACTGCAAATCGAAAGTCGAAATAGCAAACAGAACTCCCCAGTAAAAAACAAGGAAACAAACATGACGTCACCACAACCACCGCGCATCCGTCTGCGCAACCCCCCCCTTCCCAGGGAGGGGAATGGGGGGGATCCCAGACCTCCACGCTGGCAACTCTCCTCATTTCAGAGGCTGAGTATAAAAAATGCCGACCAAGAATCTCGGAGTATCGGAATCTCGGAGACCAGGAGTCTCCCCGGCATCTCCAGGGATGCCAGGGAGACTCGAGTCTCACGCAGAAAATGGCGTTTCATTAGATTCAACGCTGGTTTTCTGTGGTGAGCCCCTTTGGCTCCCTGGAGCTACCTAACCAAAGATAAGAAGGAAAGGAACTTACCCGGGAGGCGGTCATCACTCGCTCCTCAACTCGAAGTCAAGACAACTGGCTGCAACCTGGGACTCAAGCCTATACATGCCCAAGAAGGGCCAGAAACATTAACAAGGTACCGTGCAGCCAGGACCCTGTTCGACCTCCAAAGCCCCATGCCCGAATGTTAGCCCAGGACATATTACCAAAAACAGCAGCTAAAGCCGCGAACTTTCAAACGTAGTGGGCATGGGGATAGACCACAGGCTGGTTGGACCAAATAATCCTGCAGACAACCTGGGAGACCTGCGTCCTGGAATAGGGAAGAAGGGAAACCAGGTCGACCCAAACCGCATCATCTGCCACAGAGACAGTGGTGCGCAAATAACGGCGAAGAGCCACAAAGGGACACAAAACATGATGCACCCCGGCCGAACCAACCAATCAACAACAACCCAAGGACCCCTTCGGAAAGCAGCAGACTCATTCTTCGCCAGAAAAGAGGGAGATGGCTGCAAATGTAAAAATGACCACCAGGACCGAAAGAGCAGAAACCCCTGCGCAGGAGAAGAGCATGAAGCTCTCCGACCCGACCCCCAGAGGCCAATACTAACAAGAAAAAAGCCTTAGAAAAAGTCCTGAACCGAGAGGGCCACCACAAACCGAGGAGAGGAGAGAAAACAGGGGAGCACCCAGTCCAAAGACCAGGATGGCTCAGGCAGCGCATGAGCAAGCCGGAGGTGAAACAACGCCCGAGAAAGCTTGCGGAACAGAGCAGAAGTGACGTCCACCACAAATGCAAGCAAGCTGCAGCGGCTCCACCAACTCCGCACAATACGAGGCGACGACAGTATTTGGCAGAAGATGACGGTCCACTGTAACCCCACCTCTACCAGTCCAGCCGAAAGGCATCAACCCCGATGGCCTCGCAGTCTGGGAAGGGTGCCACATACACTGAAAGATGCATCAACCATGCCAATATGAAGAGGTCCACCTCTACGCACACGTACATCTGGCAGACCCAACTGAATGAGTTGGCGTCGACAGGGGAATGAACCGAGACAGGCTGTCTACCAGGATGTTTGACACCCCCTGAACGTGAACCTTCAGGAGAGCCAAACCCCGAGAACTCAGCAGACAAGTCACCGGAAACGACCAGCTCCAAAGAGCCAATGACTGCATCGAACCCCAGCAATTCAGACAATGAACTACCGGGGAGTAGTCCGAATGGAGCCAGATCATTGCTATGCGAGAAACACGTACCCTCTGAAGCGAATGCCACACCACCACAAACTCCCGCGCTGTGTTGTGAGCAAGACGAAAGAATGGGCCCCACCGACCCGGGCCAGCCTGGTGAGCACTGGTCACAAAACCCCAGCTGAGAGACGAGGCATCCGTGAACACATCGAGCAAAGGCTCGGGAAGGCATCAGAGCACAGAACCCTGAAATATCCTCAGAGGAAACCCTCAAAAAACCATGCGATGAAAGCTTCAACAGTATTCCCACATGTGAAGGGATCCACATGAATCTTACTTTATACCCAATTTTTTCTAATTTCTTAACATTCTCTCTACACTATCACAATATTCTGGTATACTGGGCGTCTGCTATTTAAAGACTACACTCCTCTACTGTCAATAAATAAGCAGGCATTTTTCCCACATTTGACTACTTCCTGTAATCCTGCTAATACTCCTTGGAGTACAGCCTGCGTTGAAAAGACATTGTCAGTTAAGCGGCGTCCAATAACAGTATCTACAGTGCTAATGTCAGTGTACTCCCTGACCAAGACTCCACATCTTGCTTTCCCATCCCTAGCTACTGACCCATCACAATATACATGTAGAGTGTTTTTTGTAGGTAATTTTCTAATTATACAATCATATGTTGCCCTCAGCTCTCCTATTTCATACATACTTCTTTTCTTTTGCAAGGGAATAATTACTACATCTATATTACAATCCTTCCATAGTTGTGTGAATTGTCTCTTGGGCACAGCAATATATTCTGTAATATCATACTTTATAACATTAGAACTTAAGATATTCATATATGCTCTCTTCTTTATCATACATTGAAATTGAAATAAGTTTATTGAGGTAAAATACACACAAAGGGATGAGGTAGCTCAAGCTATTCTCACCCCATTCAGTACATCGTGTTAATATATACATAGACACACATCACAAATAAACATATTACCAAACATTCTGAGAGGTAAACATATACATTTCCTCCTTCACAAGTAGTATGGTATCAGACGTACACACATGGTGTACGTCTGGTGTACGTCCTCCCATGGTGGTGTGAATTGTCTCTTAGGCACAGCAATACACTCTGTAATAACATTATACTTTATAACATTAGAACATAAGGTACTCATATATGCTCTTCTTTATCATACATTGTTCATTGCTTCCCACCTTTTGAACCAAGAGGATTAATTCATTAGCTCCCCCACCTCTCATTAATCTAATGGCAGAGGCTACATTTATCTCTATAATTCTATCCCCAATACTCTGCAGATTCAACTCCATCCTCATTATCTCAATCATAGCATTTCTTGGGCATCCAAAAATAATTCTCATGGCTTCATTTTGTACCTTCTCAAACTTACCCATCCTACCTTCACCAAAACAAGAAATGACTGGTGCAACATAATCAATAAGAGATCTTACAGTAGTCAATTATATCATTCGTAGCACAGGGACAACCATTCCCTTTCCACAGCATGCCAAGGCCTTCAGAGGTTGTAATCTCTTCCGACATTAACCCAACAGTCTGTTCATCTCAGCTTCCAAACTCATGGGTATATCCAACATATATGCCTAAATATTTATTATATTAACTCTCTCATCCCTATCTTAATTATGGTATCTGTGCATGGGGTTCAACCACTGCAAACTACCTCAAGTCCATCATTACCCAGCAAAAATCTTTTATCAGAATAATAACAAATTCTGCTTTCAGACAACATTAAGCCCCTTTGTTTAAATCCCTAAACATGCTAAACATAAACTCCCTTCACATATTCTCTTGTGTCAACTACATTTACAAAACCCTGCTCTGAAACTCTGTGGACAGATGTAATAGGACCCATAATCACCACACCAGAAATAAATATCTCTTTGATATCCCCAAAGTCAAACTTAATCTGTGTAAACACACTATGCAAATAAAAGGACCCAGTCTATGGAACTCACTCCCTAATGAATTGAAAAGCTGTCCAACTTTTGCATACCTACTAATCTCTCCCACCTCACTTTTCTTTTTTCTTACAATGTATCTGTTATCATTTTATTAATTCTGCTTGAATTTACCTACTTAAAATTATCTGTTAGATTATTAAGGACCTGCCCGAAACACTGCGCGTACTAGTGGCTTTACAAGATTGTAAATACCATGCTATGTATCCTTACGAACCCAATGTACCTTCTTGTATATAAATAAATAAATAAATTAATAATAAATAAATAACACAGTTGGTATACTCTCTAAAATCAGATATTATATACCTAACTCTGCTCTCCTCTCACTATATTTTGCACTAATCAATCCCTATCTTACTTATGGTATCTGTATATAGGGTTCAACATATGCAAACTACCTCAAGCCCATCATTTCCCACCAAAAATCTGCTTTCAGACAACACTCAGCCACCCTGTTTAAATCCCTAAACATGCTAAACAAACTCACTTCACACATTCTCTTAAGCCAATTACATTTACAAAACCTTGTTCTTAAGTGCAAACCTTGTTCTGAAACTCTTCCTGGACAGATGTAATAGAACACATAATCACCACACCAGAAATAAATATCTCTTTGATATCCCGAGTCAAATTTAATCTATGTACACACTATGTAAATAAAGAGACCTGGTCTATGGAACTCACTCCCTAACAAATTGAATAGCTGTCAAACGTTTGCCTTACTCAAAAATAAAACCAAAAAGTACCGAAGTTCAGCTTCATAATTTCCAACCTAGTGCTTGAAACTCGCACTGTATCTAGTGCTACCCAATCTCCCAATACATGTACCTGAGCCATACAGCTTTACCAATGTAATCACTGCTGTTATCTTATATCAGGTTTACTGAACACATAGTTTACTGCATTATACCTTGCAATAATTATCAAATTATGCAACAATGTATCTGTGGATAATGTTTAAATTTACTTTAATGTACCTACTAATCCAGTCAAAAATTTTATACAATGTATTTTTTTATACTTTCTTACAATGCATCTTCATACTTTCTTACACTGTATTTTTATACCTTCTTACAATACACTGAAAACATTTTTGTTAATTTTGCTAGAAATTACCTTCTTAAAATTATATGTTAGATTAAGGATCTGCCTGAAACACTATGCGTGCTAGTGCCTTTTCAAGAATGTATAACCTCAATGGTCTGTACTCTCATAAACCCAATGTACCTTCTTGTATATAAATAAATAAATAAATTAATAAATATTATCACCAATTATATAAGTAATGTTTATTTTATTGTGCACATCTAGTATCAACATCCCAATACAATTTTTTACTGCGAATATTCTTGTGTTTTTAATATTAAGCTGTGTTATTGACATAACAAAAATATAATAAATTTGAAAAGTCCAACAGAAAACATATTCCCGAGACAAATGTAGCCATGCATTGTATTAAAAAAACTACATAATGCTTGAAATTCTAGGGTAATGCAAGTATCTCGTTTGATGATTCTGAAAATACAGTACAGTAACCAAACGTGCTGAAAAAAATACTAGAAAATTTCTTTTGCAAACAGGGTGGTAAACAGTTGGAACAAGTTTTTGTTTTGTTATTATTATTTTATTTGATATATACACGAGTTCTTACATTCTTGTAAAGCCACTAGCACGCATAGCATTTCGGGCAGGTCCTTAATCCTAATTTTAAGATGAGGTGATTGAGGTGATTGTTTTGGGTGAGCCCCGGAGTCTCCCTGAAGCTATTCAAACAGATAATGTGCTTTATCAGCGTAGGGTCATCAGTCACAAGAGTTCTTTGCCTACCAGGCAAAGGAGGTCTATGAGCCAGAACCTGGCCCCTGTGCTCCCCTCAAGAGAGGCACAGGGAGCAATGGCCTCTCCATATGATTCTGAGCTCCAAATCCTCATCTGCATGGCACAAAGAGGGTTGGAGACATTTCTTTTCACTTGGTGCCTCTGCTTACCTAGCCGTGAATTGATATTCGGGAGTTATGCAACTGTTGTGGGTTGCATCCTGAGGAAGGTCATCAGCTGGCCTAGGAGGACCTCTCCAGGAGGACCTCAATAAACCAACCAGGCTTCCTATCATCAACTATGTTAGGTTAGCAGTATACTGCTATGCATGTAGCAGTGTGCTACTAAAGCATACAGCATAGTGTTAGCAGCACTTTGCTGCGTAGCTAAACCTGTTAATATTATCAAATAATTACAGTGTAATAATACGTATCAAGAAGCAAAGAGAAGTTTACCACATACACGCCATCCACAGCTGTTCTGTTGTAATTATTTATACTCTACTGTAGAAATAGTTCACACTTACGTATAAAATGTTCATGATAAAATTAGGTTTCAATGTGGGAAGAGAAAACGGTAAACAACAGCATCCTCAGCACCATCAGCGGGAAGACTGTGTTAACTCTCCTCCAGTCGCCTGTGCTGCTGCTGCACGGGGATACCACGGTAAACTAATTGTACTAAACTTGTACCCTCAAACCAATATACAAAAATCATAATATAAATATATATAAATATATATATATATATATACATATATATATATATATATATATATATATATATATATATATATATATATATATATATATATATATATATATATATTTTTTTTTTTTTTTTTTTTGAGATATATACAAGAGTTGTTACATTCTTGTACAGCCACTAGTACGCGTAGCGTTTCGGGCAGGTCCCTGGAATACGATCCCCTGCCGCGAAGAATCGTTTTTTCATCCAGGTACGCATTTTACTGTTGCGTTAAACAGAGGTTACAGTTAAGGAATTGCGCCCAGTAAATCCTCCCCGGCCAGGATAAGAACCCATGACATAGCGCTCGCGGAACGCCAGGCGAGTGTCTTACCACTACACCACGCAGTTGTGTCCGGACGACGGTCGTGTGCGGTCGCAAGGTTGGCGCTCTTCACGTACGCTGCTTGGTGGGAGGTGGAGTATTGCCCCACACTCTTCGTTTTTGCACGTGGTGATACAGGATATTGTGAATTTGTTCTCGATTGTTGACAGCGTCGGGTACATAACTCATACGCGGCTGCTTGCAGCCTGACGTATGAGTCACAGCCTGGTTGTTCAGGTATCCTTTGGAGGTGCTTATCCAATTCTCTATTGAACACTGTGAGGGGATTGCCAGTTATGCCCCTTATGTGTAGCGGAAGCGTGTTGAACTGTCTCGGGCCTCTGATGTTGATAGAGTTCTCTCTCAGAGTACCTGTTGCACCTCCGCTTTTCAACGAGGGTATTCTGCACATCCTGCCATGTCTTCTGGTCTCGTGTGATGTTATTTCTGTGTGCAGGTTTGGGACCCAGCCCCTCTAATATTTTCCACGTGTAAATTATTATGTATCTCTCCCGCCTGCGCTCAAGGGAGTACAGATTTAGGCTCTTTAGTCGGTCCCAATAGTTTAGGTGTATTACTGAGTGGATTCTAGCAGTAAAGGATCTCTGCACGCTCTGCAGGTCAGCAATTTCTCCAGCTTTGAAAGGGGCTGTCATTGTGCAGCAGTACTCCACTCTAGAGAGCACAAGCGTTTTGAAAAGTGTCATCATCGGTATAGCATCTCTAGTGTGAAAAGTATGTGTTATCCAACCTGTCATTTTTCTTGCAGTTGTGACGGATACTTTATTGTGTTCTTTAAAGGTAAGGTCTTCCGACATGAGTACACCCAGATCTTTTACATTGCCTTTCCGTTCATTGTTATGATTTGCCTGAGTTTTGTACGTGGTTTCTGTTTTTATATTTTCATTTTTTCCATAGCGCATGAGCTGGAACTTATCTTCGTTAAACACCATATTATTTTCTGTAGCCCATAGAAATACCTGATCTACATCTGACTGGAGGTTTGCCGTGTCCTCTATGTTGCCTACTCTCATGAAGATCCTAGTGTCATCTGCAAAGAATGATACAGTGCTATAGGTTGTGTTCTTGTCTATGTCTGATATGAGGATGAGAAAAAGTACTGGAGCAAGCACAGTACCCTGGGGGACAGAGCTCTTCACGGTTGATGGGCTGGATTTTATTTTGTTGACTATTACACATTGGGTTCTGTTGGTGAGGAAATTGTAGATCCATCTGCCTATTTTTCCGGTAATTCCTTTTGAACGCATTTTATGTGCAATAACGCCATGGTCACATTTATCAAAAGCTTTTGCGAAATCTGTGTAAATTACATCAGCGTCTTGTTTGTCTTCCATAGCATCTAATGCCATATCATAGTGGTCCAGCAACTGCGACAGGCAAGAGCGCCCTGTTCTGAAACCATGTTGTCCGGGGTTATGGAGATGCTGTGATTCCATGTATTTTGTGATCTTACTTCTTAGCACTCTCTCAAAAATTTTTATAATGTGCGATGTTAGTGCTATCGGTCTGTAATTTTTTGCCTCTGCCTTATTTCCTCCTTTATGGAGTGGTGCTATCTCTGCTGTTTTTAGTATATCAGGAATAACGCCAGTATCTAGGCTGTGTCTCCACAGAATGTGGAGGGCCTGCGATAATGTTTTTTTACAGTTCTTGATGAATATGGAGTTCCAAGAATCCGGGCCTGGTGCAGAGTGCATAGGCATACTGTTTATGGCTTCTTCAAAATCCAGTGGGGATAGGGTGACGTCTGATATATGATTTGATGTTGGTATCATATCCATGAAAAATTCATTTGGGTTATCAATCTTTAGTGTGTTTAATGGCTCGCTGAAAACAGAGTCGTACTGCTTCCTCAGTAGCTCACTCATTTCTTTGTTGTCATCGGTGAAAGTTCCATCTCCCTTTCGCAGGGGCCCGATACTAGATGTGGTTTTTGATCTTGATTTTGCATAGGAGAAAAATATTTCGGAGTTCTCTCTATTTCACTGATGGCCTTTTGCTCTCTTTGTCTCTCCTGGGTTTTGTATGATTCTTGTAGCTTCCGTTCAATTGTTTCTATTTCTCTACCTAGTAACCTTCTTCGCCGTTCTTGAGATAGGGTGCGACTCTCAAGTTGTTCCGCGATTCGTTTTCTTCGCCTATATAGAGAACGACGTTCCCGTTCCAATCTGCATCTCTTCCTCTTTTTTCTTAGGGGTATGCGGTTTGAACATATTTCTAGGGATCAAAGAAGACTTTAAATAACAAACCAACACTCCTGTCCAATAACGATGGTCAGCTTTCAGCCTCTGATTCTGCTATTGGATTTCAATAGGTTCTTCTCTTCCATTGGGTCATCCCTTGAAAAATGATATTCCATCTTCCAGTACTGACGTTAAGGACTATCTTACAGGTAACTATCCACAGTCTCTGTACCTAAAGCCTATTAATTCCACTGACGTCAATCAGATAATCCTTTCCCTTAAAACCAAGTCTAGTGCCCTTGAGGAGATACCAACTTTAATTTACAAAAAAGCCTCCAGATCTTTAGCCCCTGATATTGCATTGCTCTTCAACAAGTCACTTGAACTCCAAACCTTTCCAGATATTCTAAAAAAAAGCGAGAGTAACGCCTGTCCACAAATGTGGTGATCTCACAGATGTTAAGAACTACAGACCTATATCAATCCTGCCAAACTTGTCAACAATTTTTGAAAAACTAATCTATAAGCAGCTTTACTCTTATCTAGCCAAACACAATATACTTAGCCCTTGCCAATATGGCTTCAGACCCAAAAAAAGCACTAACGATGCACTTATTAGTATGCTTAACTCGATTCATACAGCTCTTGATAAAAATGAGTTCCCTGTTGGGTTATTTGTGGACCTGCGTAAAGCTTTTGACACTGTCAACCACCAAAACCTTCTTCTTAAATTACATCATTATGGAGTCAGAGGACACTCCCTGCAATACCTCAAATCCTACCTTACTGACAGGCTCCAGTATGTTTCTGTGAATAATTCAATTTCTCCCACCCTACCCATCAACATTGGTGTTCCTCAGGGCAGCATACTTGGCCCTCTCCTCTTTCTCATCTACATTAATGACCTTCCAAATGCCTCCCAACACCTCAAACCAAATCTATTTGCTGACGAAACAACCTTCATTTACTCCAGTCCTGACCCCCTTGCTCTAAATGCCACAGTAAATACTGAGCTAAATAAAGTCCATCTTTGGCTAACTGCCAACAAACTCACCCTTAACACTGACAAAACTTTCTATATTCTGTTTGGCAATAAATCCTCTAATCAAATAAATCTCAAAATAAACAATACCCAAATTTGTAACAAATTGGATGGCAAATTCCTTGGCATTCTCATTGACCACAAGCTGAATTTCCAGGGACACATTCTAAATATATCAAAAAAAGTTTCAAAAAACTGTTGGCATTCTTTCTAAGATCAGATATTATGTACCCCGCCCTGCCCTGGTGACTCTCTATTACTCCCTTATCTATCCATATCTCAACTATGGTATTTGTGCTTGGGGCTCTACTACCCAAAATCACTTACGTCCTCTAATTACTCAACACAAAGCTGCTATTAGGACAATATCCAATTCTGGCCCCAGACATCACTTGGTACCCCTACTTAAATCTCTGAATATGTTAGACATTAAGTCACTGCACATTCTCTCATGTGTACTATACATATATAAAACGCTAAACTATAATGCCAATCCTGATCTCAAAAGCTTCATAGAAGGTTGTATCAGAACCCATGAGCATCACACCAGAAATAAATACAGTTTTGATATTCCTAGAGTACGACTTAATCAAACTAGAAATGCTCTACAAATCAAGGGGCCCAGAATGTGGAATGACCTTCCCAACCATGTTAAAGACTATACCTCTCTCAACCAGTTTAAGTTAAAAGCGAAGCTATACCTAATAAATTCCCTGTAACCTACCTTACCCTTCTATTGTCAACCAATGTCTGTTTTTTTTCTTTAAAGAGCGCTGTTTGTCGACATAATTGTATTTGTGCTGCTTTTTCATCTATGTTTTCATTTCTTGTTTTCATTCTACTCATTATGCTCAATTAGTATTAAGCTTGTCATTTAAGTTTATCATGCCCGAAACGCTTTGCGTAATAGTGGCTTTAGGCATTGTATGTACTAGCTCTACCTATAAGTCAAACAATCCTTGTAAATATTTATTGTATGTATGTACCTTACCTAAATAAAATTGTATTGTATTGTAAAATTGTATTGTATTGTATTGTATTGTATTGTATTGTATTGTATTGTATTGTATTGTATTGTATCTTTTGCTACCCAGTCTCCCAATCTTTATGTACCCAATCTGAATATCTTTACCATTGTGATCATTGCTGTCTTTTTATATGTGCTATCAATCTGCTGTATGGTATCTGTTAATCTTGTTTAAATTACCAATCAAGTTGTCAATGTAATCAACCATAGCTTTAATATACCAATGTGCTTTAATATACTTACTATTCTCTCTCATCTCATTTTTTTTCTTGCAATGTATCTGTTATTATTTTATTAATTCTGCT